TTTTTAATAAACATTGTCGCACGTTTTCTAGCACATTAGGTTTGACGCTATATAAGTAGCAGGTGGCATATGTAATGCGCCCATTACAAAAGAAGCCAACACCATTCAAATTTGATAACTCTGAAAAGGCATGATCAAGAGTATAAGAAATGGAAAAGGATATGTTGCATTGTGGAGGAGATTGAAACTTTTACAAAAAATAAAAAGAAACAAGAAGCCACTTTAAAGGAATTAACAGCTACAGCAGACTCGTATGCAGAAAAGGCAGAGTGTACTGGGGACTTGACATGCATCAAGTCACACACCTTTAGGAAGACTGCCAAGACTGAGCAGCAGGAGACAGTGGACATTCATATGAAAATTCAGGAGTACTGATTACTAGAATACTGAAATTTAGGAATACTGAAAGTGATTATTCATGCAACTTCCAAGGAATTATGATTGAAAGGTATTTAGGAAGAAAGTGTAATCGCAGCCATGTTTTCGATGTTTGCTCCAGTAATGCGTTTCTTTTTCGATGAATTATAAATGTTTCAAGCCTCCATCTTCCCCTGAAATATGCTACTTGGGTTTCTGACAGACAATGGAGTCCTTGAAAATTTGCAAACATAGCCTTGAAAACCCTTGAATTTTTGTCATGTAATCGAGCATGAACCCCGATATAAAGCATTTTGAAATCCTTGTTGTCACATGAAAAATTTACTATAGAAAAGAAACTTTCACCTTGATTTTCTCTTGTATTAATGGGCCTACAAAGGTGAAAGTAGCAACAATAGAGTTGTTAGAGTACAATTTATCAGTCCAAGCTGATTCATTGTTTTACTTTAGTGGCCTTTAAAATAGTATTGGTATGCATTCAGAACCCTAGCTGTGTTTGCACACACTTCATCTCTGCTATGCTGACTGAGTGCGTGCTGTCTAAAAAACAAAACACACCTGCAAACTAGTTGAAGAAACATGCTCGTAGCACCTGTATAGTTAATAGTTCAAAAGACAGTTTTCATGTGTTGTAAAGAAATTTTTATAAATTATTGTCTGGTGTACAGGACACAGCCTTTTTGGTGTAGCCCTTTGCAGTTTGCACTTTTGTTTCTCTTTGTAAGCAATCTTTTAATGCAGCAGGGCCACGATCAGTCAAGAAAAACTTTTTGTTTTTTCCGGTTAGCTGGCATCCTTGATCACCTCGAATAGATTAGCTTTTGCACTTGTGCAAAAGCTCATTTATGTTATGCTCATGTGCTGCTCCCCAACATTCCAGGCAGTGCACACAAACGTGATGTGTCTGCATGGTTGAACCTTAACACATGATTGCTCATGCTCCCGAGGCTCTCTTATTTGCTTTTTTGCGCACCAAGCGGAGTGGTGGAAGTCTTTTATTTATTTATTTATTTATTTATTTATTTATTTATTTATTTATACAATACTGCAGACCAATTTAATGGTTCAAGCAGGACGGGCAGAAAAAAAGAATGTTCACACACATACAATGCAATGCAAAAAAAAAAAACAATGAAGCAACAAAACGCAGAATTCGCTTAGAACTACAAAATAAACAAGCCACGGTGAAACCGACTTTTCGCACAAACATAGCAGGGTTTCCAATCCAAATAAAACTAGAAACTTTCACCTTGATTTTCTCTTGTATTAATGAGCCTACAAAGGTGAAAGTAGCAACAATAGATAGAACGAAACAGCGACAGAATTCTGCAAAAAGAAAGCTGTTTGAAGGCCTTCTTTACATTACGACCAGTTGCTTGCATCAAGCTATTTTATGTGTTATTAAAAACAATTTATCATGAGCTTGCCACTAGCTACGAACTAGCTGTATTGATAACTAAGTTAACCATCTGGCTGCGTCATCTCCAGCTGGGTTTTCCTTGTGCTTTCGTTCAGTGGGAATCTTGTGCTACACAAGATATATTTCTTTGTTGTCACTGTTCTGATTCAGAGTTCTTTGTTAGTTGAATTTATTTTGTGGTACATACAGAAATGTGTGTGCACAAAACACGGTACACAAGCTAAGGAAGGTGAAGGTGTGAACTAGCTGGTCAGGCAGGTTTGAACTAAAAGTTCAAATGTAACAGTTGTACTCATGAAAAAAAAAAGGGGACAAATGTAGCAGAGACTTTCAGCCAATTTACTTTTTGAAGCAGCTGCTTTAATATAAATTGTGTGATAACTAACAGGGCACCCAGCGGCCAGGAAAGGCAGGTCAGTCAGGCAGTTTTGAGGCAACGGGAAAAGCAAGGATATTGTCAGGGAATTCACGAAACAGCGATAGAATTATGCAAAAAGAAAGCTGTTTGAAGGCCTTCTTTACATTACGACTCGCAGCGGGCCATGCACGGCTAAGCTTGTAGGCAGCCCCCACATCTTATCTTGCAGATGACCTGCAGTGGCTGCAATGGTTCAGTAAGTTGAGATGGCCTCTCACTTCATGTACCTTGTCTGTCTGTGCACTTAGTGTTGCAAGTTGCATTATCTCAAATTTTGAGGGAAGAGTAGAAGCCAGAGGCAGCGAGACTGAATTGCAGAACTCTTCATCCTCTGTTTCATGCCAGCTGTATGAAAATGGTTGTTTGTGATCATCATGTAAGACCCTAGTAACATTTGCATACTCACAAATGCATTTGAGCAGTTATTTAATCCAGTAATGTTATGAAAGTGAATTATTTGGGCACTCTCATTTAAAAAATTCCAATTATGACAGACTGCAGTTGAAATATGTCATCCCTTCTTTTGTCCTGCATCGTGAAGTTTAACAAGAATAATTTTAACAAAGTGACAGTTTTGCTGAACTATTCGGCCATATTCTCTAGATGTCTTGGGAGGAGATATTCCAGGTGTCTCCAAGCAGACAAACAAGTTCCCAAGCAGGCAGTTTCATTAGCCTTGCAAAGCTGCTGGGGTCTAAATATGGTGTGTTTGTTTACTAAGTTTGCCTAGGTTTATTTTGGCTTGTTTATTGCATCAAAGTTAAATAATTTATAAAGTGCATGCTTATGTCCCCCGCAGAAAATATAGGCTTTGGAAAATTTGTTCTTTAAAGGGGCACTGAAGGAAAAGCAAGTACTTTTTTTTTTACTAGTAAATTTCTTTATTTCTTTCTTGATTCAATGATTACCATGCTTAGCCAGAAGGCAGTGCAGCATTACTCTTTCCGATTTGTAAAATCTTCACACTCACTGCGAGAAGACGCTTGCTAAGCGAGAAATTGCGCAAAAACAAAATGGGTCAATGGCTGATTGGTACTCTATCTGTGATTTTTGAGCGTTTTCTGTCATTTGCCGAGGGAAGAGAAAGCAATTTTCATCTGACTAATAATTTATTGTGAATAGCAGGCTGCGTGCTGCGTTATAACATTTGGCTCGCACGTTCTCGGGAGCCTCTACTACCAATCAGCAGTGTTTTTTGGCCATGCTCAAAAAGTGTTGCAGAGCCCTTTTAATGACCAGTGGTTATCTTGTCTTTGCACTACGTGCCCTGCCCATGCCACTTTCTTCTTCTAGAATCAAGTGGATGAGGGGGAGACAAAGTTAGGTGGGCAGATGAGATTAGGAAGTTTGCGGGTATAAAGTGGCAGTAGCAAGCACAAGATGAAGTTGACTGGCGGAACATGGGAGAGGCCTTTGTCCTGCAGTGGGTGTAGTCAGGCTGATGATAATAATGGTGATGATTCCCTCATAGATTATTTTTATGCAATTAAAGTTGACAGTTAGGAAATAAAACACAGTACAGCCTTGTATAAATGCCTGCAGGGTTGTACGAGTGCCTACAAATGTGTATAGCCTGTGATGAATGCATGTGCAAATGTTTCTGTGATAAAGCGGTTACAATATGAAATGACCATTTCTCATTGTTGAAATCTTGTCAGGCTTTTCATGTTGCAGCTTATGAACTCCAAGTATTTTATCTGCTGTGGTTTCATCCCAGTATAGGCCACCTGTGTAAATTGTCTGGTATACTGTACTGTACTCGCAGATTAAAATGCAAAAACTTAGGGTGTAGTAAGGCAGATATTTTCATTTCTAGCACGTACAGTCTGTTGTGTTGGCATAGTTATGACACAAACATTTACATCAGAGTCAAGATTACCTTTTATGATAAAGTTTACTTATATGGTTAAGCTTGACTGTGGATAGATTTCGGATGGGCGGGCCACACAGATGGCAGTCTAACACAAGGCGGTGTTCACATTGTCGCTGGTCTTCAAACTTCTACCTAGTTTGAGTACAGTCTTACGATGCAGCACAGGCCAGGAGAGACAATAAATGCTGCAAAATCTCGCAAGCTACAATTTTTTGCTGACTGCATGACTTTTTGCATTGCTTATGTTGTATACAATTGAAGACTTTTTCTTTTTTTTATCTGATGAGACAGACCAATACATATGATTGTCGAGTTGTTTCCCTGTGTCAGGCTGTAACGCTGTGCCAGTAGAGTTTAAAAAAGCAGCAGCTGGCCATTTGATCGGTCTAGACAGCAGTAATGAAACAACTGTACTATTTTGCTGTGCAATTACTTATAGGCGATTCAGCTGTGCACTGGACCAACTGCAGAGGTGAATGTGCCATGGGGCATAGCAGCCCCTCCAGTTCACACCGGTGTCATAGGCCGCATTATCACTTCTTGCTTGCTCATGTTGCATTCATTATATGCATTTTCATTTCATTGTCGATACTTGTTCAGTGAAATGTAATACAGGAGTGGCACTCACTGAGTAGTGAGTACGGCACGACGCAAGTGTTACCATGAAAGGGCCACTGCTTTTAGTGTGAAGCTTTTTGGGTGCAAATACAAATGCTCTGTTGGAAAAGTTGTGCTCACAATCTTTACATATCTTACATTTTTCTAGGCTTTCAGTTACTCCCTGTTCTCTGTATTCTGCCTTTGTGTCTTTCGTGTCGATCACTGGCACTGAAACCATGGCACAGAAGAGTGTCTGAGCTTGTGCTATTTGTGAGCATCAAGCTACATCTAAACTTGTTTCTTTATTGCAGAGCAGCTGGTACTGCGTGACAAAGACGCCTTGTCTTTTAGGGAGGGTCGAATCTACACTCTGAGCAAGTGACAGTGTGAAGTCCGTAGGAGGAATGCATTTGCTTCGAAACGAGGTGAGAATGTTTTTATTATTCTGTTTGATATATCTCTTCTGCTGTGGAAACCATTTTCTATAGTTTGTCTTATGTAGTTATGTACTGATCTTTAGCACCTCATGCAGCAACTTGTAACTTCAGAAGCTACACATGTTACCCTGGCTCTCTTTTTATAGAACCATCATTCCAACTGTGCTGTTTTGAGATTGTCTTGTCCGTGTATGATTCCTTTTTGAAACTATAGTTTTGTTGTTCTCAACTCCGAGCATAGCACTAAGGTATGGTTTATGTTGGTTGTCTTCTTTTCTCTGCTTGTTCGAATGAGCTAGAGAGTGGGTTAAAACAATTTAAGACGATTATTATTTGTCTACAGGACTACAGTGCAAGTTAGTAAGTTAGTTGGTTCCTGATCCTTGGGCAACTTTTTTACAGCATGAAACAGACAGATACTTCTTACTTTGCAGCCAAAAATTGTCACTCCGCTTACATTTTCTTATGCCAAAAGGTTTATTGGGCGAGCCAAACAAATGGGCTGTAGCTCAAAAAAGTATGCATACAGAATAAGATGGTTGTGTTCAAACACCAATCTCGTGCCTTCATGTTGTGATGATGATATATGAGCCCATGATTTCAGTGTCCTTCTTTCCTCATTATAATTGCCCCCGTCGAGAAAAATGAAGCCATCCTGGTAATCTAACATGTAACAAACAGGTCGAAGTGTGGCTTGAGGCAGTCAGTGTGCGCCGTGTCACGTCCACGCTGACTATGGTTCCTGGGTGGCACAGGAGGTTCAGTGGCGTAGTTGATGGATGAAGTACACGTGACCATGCAGTAGAGATTATGATAATGTTAGAGTAGTTTCCTGCCAGACAAAGCTGGAGTCCATGGTGATACTGGCAGCCATTCAGATACTGCAGGAGCAATGCTGCAGCACGACGGTTGTTGTCATCACCTGCCTTTTTCTGGTGCCATTGCTGTTGGAAGGCTTAAGTAAACAACTTGGCTAGATGGCGGCATACTTCGGCGTAACGAGCCCCCTCTGACGCAAGCGTACCCTTGGAGGCATGTGGTGCATATGACAGCCAAGCAAAGTGTTGACGGTGTGCGACAGCTGGCGATGTATTGTACAGAAGAAAGAATGGGGGAAACCCAGTTGCGACTTGTCTGTATGTCACAAATGGAACGACACGGTTCGAATTTGTTTGAATGAATGCAACATGCTTCGCAAGCATGTTCCCTCGAATCCGATTGAACCACTCAGTCAGACATTTTTGTGAGGGTAGTAGGCAGTACGCGTCTAGTGCACAAGGTGGTACTGGTGTATAAGTGCTTGAGTTAATGTCAGAGAGAAAAAAAATACATACCATGTTCACTGAGAAGTTTACAGGGAGGACCATGACCTAGCACAAAATGATCAAGAGTCGCATTACTAGACTTAAGCTCTTTGGTGGATCAGCGACTATAGCATTGTGGTGAAGAAAACAGAATCACCAATTCCCAGCCACAGAGGCCGCGTACCCATAGGATATTAATTTAAAAAAAAAAAAAAACTTGTATACTAAAGATAAGAAGTTGGAACTTAAGGGCTCGTTCTTCGTTACACAATATTAATGAGAACTGATTGAAGGTCACAGGTTTGATCTCTCCAAGTGGCCAGTTATCTTTTTGTCCACTTTTCTTTCTTCACCTTACATTACAATTATTTGTGATAACATCCACCATACTTTACTTAGCATCGTTCTCATTGAGTTCTCGTTAGTATTGTGTATAACAAAGAAAAAGGAGCCCTTAACTTTTTCGTTACCATGCCTATCCAAATCAATTACCGGTGATCGACACTTTTGGATGATTGATTTCGGCATGTTAAATTTGTTTCTCATGCACCCAGCAGTTTCTAGTATTTAGTCCAGCCACTCAGTTTTCAGAATCGATTTGAATTGGCCCATTCGGCAGCATAGTGATTTTCGACAGACCTTTGCACGAATCAATGTGCGTGTACTGTTGAAAAAGTGCACTAGGTTGGCGAACTTGACAGGAGCGCGGTCCCCTTATGATTATAGTACAGTAACATCGAAGTTCTGTACTAAAAATAACCTTTGCAAGCCAAATATCGAATTAAAGTGTCAGCTTCGTAATTTGACTATGTTGAGCAGTAATGATAGCCAGAATTTTATGCCATATATTCAATAGTGAGCTGTTCCTAAATGTTTGGAAAAATTTGTTCTGCGAAAAATTTGTTCCGCGAAAAATATCTGTGAAGGTCCATCGCGTGTTTAAAGTGGGGAGGTGGCTTCCTATGACAGTTTTCCAGCTCTTTTGGTTTTGCTTGCATTGTTATATCAGGCACAGGGTCGCATCTAGTGTCACTAATCGCTCCTATGACATCGTCGTCATGCGCGCATGAGTGTGCATCAGCGCTGAAAAACACATGCGCTGCTCAAAACTGTCTTGCAACCCCACCTGAATTGAGTGACGATGAGCTTAGCGTTCGAGGATGACAACACCTCAGCTTCAAGTTTTATGGCGACGATGTTTTGCGTCAGCCTGATACATCCACAGCCGTTCATGGGTTTGTTTTGTTTACATCCTCAAGTTGTTTCCTCCGCTGCAAGTGCGTATAGCTTCTAACCTTTGCGCAAAATGTTATAGCTACTCTGTTTACGTGTGTGGTCCACACTTCACTGGGGCGCATGCCCCGCCACGGTGGTCTAGTGGCTAAGGTACTCGGCTGCTGACCCGCAGGGCGCGGGTTCGAGTCCCGGCTGCGGCGGCTGCATTTCCGATGGAGGCGGAAATGTTGTAGGCCCGTGTGCTCAGATTTGGGTGCACGTTAAAGAACCCCAGGTGGTCTAAATTTCTGGAGCCCTCCACTACGGCGTCTCTCATAATCATAGAGTGGTTTTGGGACGTTAAATCCCACATATCAATCAATCAATCAATCACTGGGGCGCAGTGTGCTGTCACTGGCTGCAGAGTTTCTCCTAACAACAAGAAGGCCCCAAAGCACATCTTGACCCTGACTACGGAGCAGTGCGAAATGTTTTAGAACTGCACGCGATATTTTCCTTTTTAATATGATGTGCATGAAAACGCAAAGAAATATGCATGGATGCATATATTGGAACACTAACCTATGCAGTGTAAGGTGGCTCCTGGAAAGAGGTGATGCTAGATGAAATAGCGAAGTTCATTGGACATCGCATTTATAGAGGGATTATTCACATCACGTGTATCCATCTACCTCTATTAGAACACCAGGACACTTTTATTGCAACACAACAAAAATTTACTGAGAAAAAGTGTACAAGTACACTTGTGTCTCTCCAAAAAAACAATGAAATCCTTCACCGCATGGCACGAGCAGCGAAGCAGTACCTCGGTTCTGATTTTCTTTGTGTGAAGAGAACCATTTTTGTACCACATTCCTTATTTTTTATACTGTTCTTGGGACATTTATCAACAAAATGTCTTTGCATATATAGTGTTTTTATTGCACTGTTTACCATCTTGTGACCAAAACTTTTACACTTTTTCATTTTTATTCATTCTAAAATAATTTTGTTGTTGCACAACATATATTTTTTTGGAAAGAGCATTTCGTTGTGCAAAGTTTGGAATGCTGCAATGCGTGCTGGAGTACTTCAACTGGCAAAAACGATCTTCCCAAGACATCTGAAAAGGAACCATTTTTGCGTGGTAACGAAAGAGTGAAATTTTCATTTTCTTTCATTCATAGCGAGGGTCTCGTTCTGGCAGACTTGATGCCTTCTGGTATGTGAAGAATTATTGGTCAGCTGCCAGCTGGTTACAAGGTCACGTACTCGAACAGTCAGAAGGAGGGTGTTTCACCCTCGCCATCATGGCTACTAGCAGCGCTGACTGGCACTTCCTCATTTAAATGCACATACATACTCCATTAATGAACGGGTGCATGACCGCCACTGTAGCTCAGTTGCTAGAGCGTCAGATGCATTTTTCGAAGGTCACAGGTTCAGTCCCTGCCAACGGCAAGTTAGCGTTTTGTTCACTTTCATTTATTAATATTTTTTGCATTCAATTAGTACTAATAACATCCCCTATACTTTCTTTGGCATCATTGCATATTCTGTCTACCTCTCTGTAAATAAATTATTTCTCTCTTGTCTGTTCTCATTAACTCGTATACTAAGCTGTTGAAGGGTCACTAAAGGCAAATAGCAATTTAGGTTAAATATAAATTAGTCCTTGAGCATTCTAGAGCTTTGTTATTATCAACAGAACATTAGTAACAGAGAAATTAAGGTAACTGTGGGACATAACATGAAACTCCAGTGGGACTTTTTAGCACAAACCTGATAATGTAGAAACTCCTCAGCCTAATTCTGTCACCACCATAGAGTTTCTCACAAAAATACTTAGAGGGAAACGTGGCACCACCGTGTATGCGAAATTCTTATTGGGCCTCGTTGAAGTGCTGGGAATGATGGTATATATGTGTCTGCAAGGCTTCTGTTGGCTGGTGTTGAGCGAGGCTTCGCCTAAAACCAGATGCGACTGCGCAAATAAAGCTTCTCTAAAGCAAAGCTTTTATCAGCAAATCTTGTTCTCGCGTATTATATTCTAAAATAAAACTCCACTCACTTTGATGGCACAATCAAGCGGTGAAAGAAAGAAACAGACGACACAAATTGGCAGAGGGAAAGCTGGCTTTGTTGTCTGCCTGCCATGTTTAGCGGCCGTTGGTAACTATTTAGGCTTTGTAAAATTGTACATCAACGCAGAAGTTCCTGAGCATTTAAATAAAACACGTTTCTGTGCAGTGGCAAAACATAAATGCTTATTACGTGCTTTTTTTTTATTAAGAAATCAACCATTTTAACGTGAAGCCAGATGTGTTTTCGAGGTATACAAATGCGAGTCAAGTTCGAAGCTCGCATATCCCGGCATTCCTTTGCATCCAGCAGCTCACTAGTGCCAGATTTCCTTGTAGGTAATTTTGTGAGAAACTCTACGGTCACCACTACTCAACTGCTCATAAC